TTAATGGTTTAAATAAAATATAAAACCATTTGCAGTCAATTTAATCTCCGATTGTATGCCCTGTTCAAAAACGCGGACTAGGCGTCCGTGTAATCGCCGATTCAGCGGTGGGCGGAGGACAGCCGCCGGGATGTCACCAAATCGGCAAGAAAATCGGGGTTGCAAAAAAAATATTTGTTTTTTGGTTAGTTTTTACTAAGAAAACTTGTTTTCTCCTAGATCTATTGTAATATAGTAAAACTTACATGAAATAGCTAGTAAAACGCGAAAATAACGAAAAAAATGAGATGGCAGCCGAATTAGGGTTACAGAGATTGCCAGCGTCCAAAGATTGAGAGGTTGAAGACGAGGATAGAAACGTCATTTTACATTTCATTAAAGAAAAATAAAAGAAAACAACATGCTTAGGCAATTGGGGCGTTGAACCAAGGTTGTGAGCCTTGCCAGCGTCCATAATGACCACTAGACTAACATGAGTTATACGTTCTGTCAAAGATATCTAATATATATATTAGCCGTAAAACTAATCCCGATTAATCCCCGCTTAATCTCTGATTTTCTTGCTAGGCGCTAGGCCCACCTCGAGCGCCCGACTAGCGCCTAGCGATTTTTTGAACAAGGATTGTATGTTATCTATAAAAAAACATGTATCAATGCAGAATAATACTGAGGAAGACTTCTCATAACGACTAAGTTTTAATTCCTAATCACTCGTGCCATAAGTTTGTGATTAATAATATCAATCCTCAAGGAAAAAAAAAATAACACACTGGGATTGCTAGCAACCGTTCAATATAAGCAAATAAGTATGATTACGAATTGTAACAAGCTAAATGCACGAGACTAACAAGATTTATAATGAAACAAAGCGGAAAATAAGAAAAACGGTTATATATCAAGAAAATAAAGCGAACTCTTGGGAAAAAATAATTGATAAGTGTTATTATAAAGTGACTTGAAATCTCTAGAAGATCTTGGCAAGACAGTGCAAGACTGTGCAAGACTGCAAGGCTATGCAAAATTACAAGACTGTGCAAGACTGCAAAGTTGTGCAAGACTGTAAGGCTCTGCAAGACTACAAGGCTGTGTAAAACTGTGCGCTGTGTAAAACTGTGTATGACTTTGCTAGATGTTGCAAGACTTTGAAAGTCTTACAAGACTTAAAAGGCTTTTACAAGGCTTTTTTCAAGATGATTTCAAAGGCGGTTTAATGTTAGGATTTGGGGGCGTAGCCCCTAGTACGGTACAATAGGGTTTAGAAGATTCACAAGATTTGTTATTCTATTGTATCGGATTTTGAGGCTTATATAAGGAGATTTAACATTTGTAAAGTAATCATCACATCAATAATGTAAACCCTAGGCAAAGGGTATTCGCCTCAAGAACACCCTTGTCTCATCAAAGCTTTTTTCATTGTAGTCACTCAAATTCGTAACAAGTGGTATCAAAGAGCCAAGTTTGATGACAAGTTATGTGAAGTTTGAGGTTCCACGATTCAATGGAACAGGAAACTTTTGCCTCTGGCAGACTCGAGTGAAGGACATCCTGAATCAACAAGGTATGAAGAAAGTTTTGTTAGACACAAAGCCAGAAGGGATCTCACAAGACGACTGGAATGAGATGAGGGAGAAGCCAAGTTCAACGATCCGTACGTGCCTTGGAGATGAAGTTGTGCATCAAGTGCTTGAACTCAAATATTCGAAAGAGATTTGGGACAAGCTAGAAAAGATGTACATGTCGAAATCCCCATCTAGCAAGCTGTACTTGAAGTAGAGGTTGTATTGGTTTAAGATGGATGAAGGTGAAAACCTGATTCAGCATGTTAACCAATTTAACCAGATCATTAGAGATCTAGGGCGTGTGGGTGTAACAGTTGAGGACGAGGATAAAGCCATGCTGCTGTTATGTTCTTTGACTCCAGCATATGAGACGTTGGTGACTGCACTCTTGGCAGACAAAGAGATGATAAGTCTGCAATCAGCCACAGATTCGCTGTTTGGTCATCACAATCGGCGCCAACAGCAAGGCGGTGGCAGCAGTGACAACTCTCAAGGTGATGGATTGTACGTAAATATTAGTCAAGGCAATGCAGGAAAGAATAACAAGAGGAAGCAGGGAGATGGCATGATGAAGAAGGCACTGTTATAAGTGTCAGAAACCAGGACATTATAAGAGAGATTGCCCAATGATCAAGATGCAGAACAGTTCTGGAGGGGAAAATAATTATACAAACGTGGTTAAACAAGAAGATTCAGTGACTGTTGAGTTTGATATGCTTGCTGTGACGACAATAAATCATACAGATTCTTGGATATTGGATACAAGTTGTTCATTCCATATGACTTCAAACAAGCATTGGTTTGACACGTATCAGGCTGGAAACTTTGGTACTTATTCGATTAGCTGACGAAAGAAGTTGCAACGTTGTTGGTATTGGGCAAATCAAATTTTAGATGCATGATGGCACTGTCACGACTTTGACAAAGGTGAGGCATCTTCCAACAATGAAGAGGAATCTGTTATCTCTTGGCACACTTCACAGGGACGGATTCAGGTTCGAAACTGATGATGAAAACTGTGTGAATGCGCGGAAAGGAGACATGACGTTTGATATGTTGTGTTTTTATCGGTTTTGAGTCTTTGTTTTCTTTCCTACATCATATGTTTTATAGAGTCAAAGTGAGTTTTTAGAGTCTTTTAGTCTTTTATCGAGTCTTTACAGGTTTTAGGTTGCTTTGGAGGAAAACGAGCTGTTTTGGGATGTAAACACACTTTTGGAGATGCAGTTTCGTTTAGAAGTGTCAGACGTTTTGCCTCAGATGGAATACTTTCCACCGTTAGATCTTTCTGCATTTTTGACAAAAGTTATATGAAGATGTTAGCTTGAGTTTACAATTGGTTCGAAGGAAATCTAACGGTGCATTCAAGAGTTATACCCGAATTAGTGAAGACAGGTCATTCTGCCGAGCATTTGAAGCAGTTGCGGAGTTGGAGACCAGAACTTGAGTTTACAAAAGTACTTCAGCAGTTGCGGAGTTGACGGACGAGAAGCAGTTTCCAGTGACTCGGGATCGATCGATCCACCCACCGGATCGATCGATCCCTTCCCAGACGTACTTTTGGCCCATAATTGACCCGATTCACTCCAGATCCGACCCGGCTCATTTCCTATTGTTTTAAAACCCTATGCTCGACTATTTACACAGTATCCTTGATATTTTTGAGTTCTAAACTTTGTTCTTTGGTTTGTAAACAACTTTGGGCAAAGGAATCCATCCTCTTGACACTTGGAGAAGATTTCTAAACCCTATTCCTTTTCTATTTTATTGAATCATGTTTTCTTTCATATCTATTTGCCTTTTCTCTTTCTCTATGTGTGAGTAGTTCTCCAATTGGGTTTTAGGGTTCCAATTAGGAGATTCAATGGATTAATGGATTGATTGTGTTAGGAATTCTCATTCTCTAGGTTCTTTGATTCACATGTTTTTAATGCTAGAATATGATTGATCACCCTGTTGTAGATTCTAGGTTTTTCTATGCATCAAAAGTGTTCGATAGAATGCCTGAAATAATGTGGATTGAGCAATGTATTTCTAGCCAACGAAAGTTGACGTTAGGACGCATTGTGAACTTAATGAACTTGTTTGGTAATGCGAATTTGACTAGGAAATTACATGCGAAAGTTTAGTAATCGAATAGTCAAATTTAGTGATTAATGTCTTGAAAGAGAATTGGTTTAAATGTGTTCATGTTCGACAACGGTTCTTAATTACTGAATTCCTGGTTTCATGTTTCCATTATTCGTTGATCTCTGAAATACCCTAACGCCCAATGTCTTTAAATCTTGAAGTTAAATCGTCTATTTTAATTGCATTTTTATTTACAATTCCGAAAACCCAAAACAAAACAATCTTTTAGCTTTAGCTAAGAACGAGTCTCGGAAATCTTTAGTGTACCATTGGTTCTTGTGGATCGACCCCGTATATACTACCTTGCGGTTAAGTGTATCGGGTAATTACTCGAGCAATCAACGTTGATGAAGGGTCAGCTCACAACAGGAAATGTTTATCGTCTACTTGGAAATGTGGTTGTAGGTGGAGCTGCAGCCGTCGTAACTGAATCGAATATCACAGCTCTATGGCATATGCGGTTGGGGCATATAGGAGAGCATGGCTTGACTGAAATCCATAAGAGGGTCTTTTGGATGGTTTGAAGAGTTGTAAGATGGAGTTTTGTAAGTTCTGCGTGATGGAGAAGCAGTCCAAAGCATCTTTCAAGGCTGACCAACACAACACAAAGGGTCTACTAAACTATGTGTATTCTAATGTGTGGGGGCCAACACGAGAACAGTCATTAGGAGGAAGCTTATTCTTTGTCATCTTTATTGATGATTTTTCTAAGAAGGTTTGGGTTTATTTCATGAGATAGAAATCTAAAGTTTTTGGAAAATTTAAAATTTGGAAGGCTGAAGTAGAAAACCAAATAGGGAGGAAGGTGAAGTATGTAAGGTCTGATAATGGCACATAGTATCTTGATGGAGAGTTCCAGAAGCTGTGTGAGTAGCAAGGTATTCAAAGGCATTTTACAGTGCGGAAAACACTACAACAAAACGGTGTAAGTGAAAGGATGAATTGTTCTATTGCAGAAAAAGCAAGGTGTTTAAGATTGAATGCAGGACTTTCCAAGGAGTTCTGGGCAGAGGCAGTAAACATGGCGGTCTACCTCATCAATAGATTGCCAAGGGTTTCTCTAGAAGGAAAGTTGCTGAAGAGGTGTGGATTGGGGTAGACATTGATCTATCAAATTAGAGAATCTTTGGTTGTCCAGCCTATGTGTTGATTCTAAACGACGAAAGATCAAATTTGGATTCTAAGTCCAAGAAGTACGTTTTTTTTGGATTTAAGAAAGTCATGAAAGGTTTCAAGTTATGGGATCTTGAGGCTAGGAAAAGAGTAATCAATCATGATGTGGTGTTTGATGAGCAGTTTATGCTACAATAGATGAGTTCAGAACGAGTTCCTGTGACCATTGAGGCTGATATTGGTTCTAAGATAGCTGAGGATGAAGAGGAGTCTAGTGAAGCTAGACCAGTAGCGGATGTAGTTGAGCAGTTGATCGCGTGTTATTTTATCGCTTCAATCTTTCACCTCAAAAGACCACAGGACTACTACAAGTGCACAGTGAATTGGTTGCAGTATTTAAAGATCGAATCCCATAGAGAGAGAAGTAGTTCGGACGAATCCGTTACAATAAAGTAAAGCTATGACAAAACAAGAAAAGAGGGGTTGTTGGTTGTGTCACGGTTGCAAGTAAAGTAAATAAGAAAGCGAGTAAAGAAAGCAAAATAAATAAACGAGTAAAGAAAGCAAGTAATCAATAAGAGACAAACGTTGGGCATCAAGGGGATCGCAGGGGGTTCAATGATTGTACTCTAAGAAATACTAGAATTAGGTTTGTTTATTTCCAAGTCTCGGACATACGAAACACTAAGATTCGGCTAACTCTATGTTATAGAATTAGTCGGCTAAAATTCTTATACTCCGTTACTCAACCTATGCAGGCAATGACGCATATATCAAAGCAATAAGTCAAGTTCGATTCTAGTCCATAAAGCCCTATAACTAAGTGGTGTGTGCTTATTATAACACGATACACATTCGTAAGCTAAGTCTAGCATATTAAACAACCTTGTGAGCAATTTAAATACTTGGGATCACGAGTTAGGACATGAATCTTACTACATGCATTAAGAGAAAATTTACTTAGAAAAAATACAATGTAAACGATCAAACAAAACTCTAAGTATCGCCACCTAGACGATCGACAGGCCGTGCAAACGTGAGGAGAAAAGAAACATTGGCTTGGGGCATGTGATTTTGAAAAAAAATTAAGGGGCATATATTTGTTAGTGCCATGTAGTTTATGTTTAGTTAAATATATAAATACTAGTGTTATATAATGTTGAAACTCAAAATACAAAGACAACTTAGTAACAAAATGGGCTTCTACCTTCAAATTTCAAATATGGGCTTCAAAATTATTAGTTAATTGAAAAGAATGAACACGATTAATTACTTAACAATTAGGGTTAGAATTTTTTTTTGTTAGTTTTCACTTTCATCGTCGTCAAGCTTTTGTTTTTGGTCCAGCAGACAAGCACTCAAGCTTTTGATTCAAGGTAATACAAGGACAAATATTTTTTATAAACATTCTTTCACTACATCGTGTCTATTTAATCCAAATTAATCATGCTTTTCATTCAATTTTTTTCTAAAAATGTCATCAAAGAAAAAAGATCACCCGTCGGGATGTGATAATAGAAAAAAGAGAAAACTAAAAGACGAACAAGCAAAATCTCAAGAGAATGCTTGATTCAGGTACTTCAAAAAATCTGAAACTTTTGATGAATCTGTGGAAAATAATGATAAAGAACATGAAGCTTCTGGAGATGTTGGAGTGGATGAGAATATAAATGAGTGTCAAAGAGAAGAAGCCGATGTTGAACCAGAAAATGTGAATGCAGTGAATGAAGAAGAATTGAATGTAAAGGATGATGTGAATATGAATGAGCGCGAGAAGAGTGATGATCTGAAGGAGACTTATGGATTTTTTGATATATATGATCTTGGAAATTGGGAAAATATCAAAAAAGGATGGAATGAATGGAGGGATTTCATGGTTGTACAAGGTCCAACAAAAAGGCTGCCACTTGGTTATAACTTTCCTAAGGATAGCGTTAAAAGACATTTTTCACATTTGTATTATACCAGAGAGATGGATGATGGAACAAAACAAGATCGGCGTTGGCTAGTTTACTCAAAGGTACTGAACAAGATCTTTTGTTTTTGTTGTAAATTGTTCAATCAAAGTGATAATAGTCAATTGGCATCTACGGGGTTCAGTAATTGGAGAAATATTTTGAAAAGGCTTAAAGAACACGAATCTAGTCGTGAGCACATTTTGTGTATGAAACAGTGGGCAGAACTAGATCTCAAGTTGCAGAAGAATCTGACCATTGACAAATATGCTCAAGATGAAATCTGCAAAGAGAAAATTCATTGGAGGCAAGTTTTGCTTAGGATTATTTCTGTAGTAAAAACTCTTGCTAAACAAAATTTAGCATTTCGTGGAAGCAAAGAGAAAATTGGAGAAGAAGGTTGTGGGAATTTTTTGAGCTTTATAGAGATGATTGCTGATTTTGATCCAGTGATGATAGAATATCTTAGAAGATATAAAGAAGGTATATCTCGTTCTTATTATCTCAGCAACAGAATTCAGAATGAGTTAATAGCTTTGTTAGCTAATGAGGTAAAAGCTATGATTGTCAAGAAATTCAAGGTGCAAAGTACTTCTCCGTAATTCTTGACTGCACTCCAGATATTAGTCATCATGAACAAATGACTGTCATCATTCGGTGTGTAGATATTTCAACAACTTCAACGAAGATCGAAGAATTTTTTTAACGTTCTTGAAAGTTGATGATAAATCAGGTGAAGGACTTTTTCGTGAGCTTCAAGATGTTTTGACTGCTTTTGATTTAAAAATTGACGATGTGAGGGGGCAAGGTTATGATAATGGCTCTAATATGAAGGGAAAGCATAAGGGAGTGCAGAAAAGATTTCTTGAGATAAATCCCAGGACGTTTTATACACAATGTAGTTGTCACAGTTTGAATCTTGCACTTTGTGATATGGCAACCACTTCTTCAAAGGCAATCTCATTTTTTGGGATTATTTAGCGTACTTATTGTTTCTTTTCATCTTCAATTATGCGGTGGAAAATATTTGAGGATCATGTGGATGGCCTAACACTTAAGCCTTTATCACACACTCGTTGGGAGAGCCATGTTGAAAGTGTAAAGGCTATACGATTTCAGGCTCCTAAAATCATGAATGCGTTAGTGTACATTGCTGAAAATAGTGATGATCCGAAAGAACACAACGACGCTGAATGTCTTGCAACAAGTGAAACACATGGAATTGGAAGTTTTGAGTTCTTGGTTTCCATGGTTATTTGGTATAATCTTCTATCTGTTGTTAACATCGTGAGTAAGAGTTTGCAGTCAGAAGACATGAACATTGATGTAGCTATTTCTCAACTCAAGGGGTTGGTTTCATATTTTCAAAACTATAGAGAGTCAGGCTTTGAGAAAGCAAAAGCAGAAGCTAAAGAAATTGCAGAATCTTTGGAGATCGATCCTGTATTAAAAGATCCCAAAAAAGCAAAGCGGGTGATTAAAAGAAAAAGACACTATGGTGAAGAATCAGAGAATATGGAGGGAAATTATCACCTGAGGAGAGCTTTAGGGTTGACTACTTCATCCAAATCATGGATCAAGCTCTCTACTCACTTGAGACGAGGTTTGAGCAATTTCAGAGGTACGAACAAATATTTGGTTTTTTGTTTGATTTGAGAAAATTGCAATCAGGGAGCGATGATAGTTTGATGGCTTCTTGTGTCAATCTTGAAGTTTCTCTAACCCATGGAAAGCAATCAGTTGTTGTTGGTCATGATCTTTTCTTTGAACTTAAAGTTCTAAGAGAAGCTTTACCAAAAGAAGTTAAAAGACCTATTGAGGTATTAGACTTTCTGAAAACAGTTGAAGATTGCTACCCAAACTCATGCATTGCTTATCGAATATTGTTGACGATTCCAGTTTCGGTTGCATCTGCTGAGAGAAGTTTTTCAAAGCTGAAGTTGATCAAATCGTATCTTCGTTCGACTATGTCACAAGAAAGATTGAGTGACTTGGATATTTTATCCATTGAAAGAGAATTGGTTAGAAACATTGATTTTGAAAGGTTGGTTAATGATTTCGGGGAGGAAAAGGGAAAACAAATGTTTAAGAACTGATATTATGTTTGCTAGTTTGTTTTTTTTTTTTTAATGTTTTTTTATTATATGATGAATGACGATGGTTTAGTTTTGTAGACGGTTTTTTTTTTTAAAAATTAAGGGCATTTTATTTTTATTCGCTCATGATACTTGGTAACGTTCGCACGGCTCTGACGATCGATCATGTCCCCCCTTTGATTAACCCTTTAAACCCAACTAGAAATCTACTCTAGTATGGTTAAAGAGATCATCAAAGTAAGGTTTGATAAACTCATAAGAAAAAGATGAATAAAAACTGAATAGTGTTTAGAGATTACTTCTTTGAATGTAGAATACAAGAGATAAGACTTCACCTTAATAGATCTTAGAGTAAACAAGAGAAAAGAGAGAGATTTGGTGTCTTCAGACCTCTAGGTCGACGGCTGCAGCTCACGACGAGGGCAGGGATGAATAACGATGAAGCACTAAAGAGGCACACCTAGGTTTAGGGTTTTCATAGGTATTTATAGGTCTTGGAGACCAAGGAGTCGGTTTAAGGGTAAAAGCGTCTTTTACCGTGAATTAGGTTAAGTTAAAACTCGAGTTCCTAGATAGAGTAGAAGCCTTAGTGACCTGGGTGGAGAGTAGAAGGCAGCCCGGGCTCGGCCATCGTGACCGGTGTGGCCTAGAAGCTCCGGAACGGTTGCATAGCTTATGGCCGGTCTAGACATGTCTTCACTCTTCTGGTCATAACTTCCGAATGGCTTGATGAAATGCTTTGATTACACTTTGAGGCGAACCTTGAGTCTTCTAGTTTTCCACAGCCACCGAGATCTCTTGATTTTGAAATCGGAAAGACTTCGAACGGACGCCATACTTCTGACGTACAATAACTGTCTTGAAACGGGCTTTGATCGCCTTTTGGACTTTAAAGCTCAAAAACTCTTAAAACCTTCTTGACTCTATAAATACATGAATAGCACCTTCTTGGCTCTGAAATCACTCCAAATGCTCCCTAAAACATAAGAAAACAATAGCAAATATGGGCGAAAATCCCATGTTATCAGTAGTCTCCTAAGGTGGAGCAGTTTCCTGGGGTAAGGCAGTCTCCTGAGGTGGAGCAGTCTCCTAAGGTGGAGAAGTCTCCTAAGGTGGGAAAGAAAATTAATCAGATACATGTAAAACGGAGTCTTGTGGCCACCAAAGTAAAACATGTAATCAAGCCCCCTGTCAAGTATGGGTATGAAGATATGGCTAGCTATGCTCTTATGGTTGGCACAGATGATCCATCAAACTATCGTGAAGCCATTAGTGGTCCTGAAATGGAAGGATGGATGGGTGCCATGACGGAGGAGACATTAAGCCTAAGTAATAATCAGACGTGGGATCTTACTCCACTACCAAAGGGGAAGAAAACGATTGGTTGCAAGTGAGTTTTCAAAAAGAAAACAGGAGTCTCTAAGAAGGAAGCCGTGACTTTCAAGGCGAGACTAGCAGCACAAGGGTACTCACAGAGGAAAGGGGTTGATTATGACGAAATTTTATCCCCTGTTGTGCGACACACGTCTATTCGAGTTATGCTAGGGCTGGTAGCTTGTTGGGACTTATAACTTAAGCAGATGGATGTAAAGACAACATTTCTTCATGGGAATTTGAAGAAAGAGATCTATATGGTGCAACCTGAAGGGTTTGTCAAGACTGGAGAGGAAGATTCTGTATGCAGACTGAAGAAGTCTCTATACGACTTGAAGCAGGCTCCTAGACAATGAGTACAAACGTTTTGATACCTACATGTTGCAGATAGAGTACCAGAGATGTGAGTATGAATGTTGCGTTTATGTGAAGAACCTTGGTAATAGTTCTCCCATCTTTCTGTTGTTCTATGTTAATGATATACTCATCCCTAGAAGCAATATGGATGATATTGTTGAGTTAAAAAGGTTACTAGGAGAAGATTTTGAGATGAAGGATCTTTGTGCTACAAAGAAGATTCTTGGGATGGAGATTCGCAGGGATAGGAGTTCTAAGAGATTGTGGTTGTCTCAAAGAAGCTACAAAGAAAAGATATTAGACAAATTTGACATGATGAATGCAAAACCTGTGTCTACCCCTTTGGCGAACCACTTCAAACTCTGAGCACGATAGTGCCCTGGGACTGATGAGGAGATCAGGGATATGGCACGAGTTCCTTACTCTAGTGTAGTTGGTTGTCTAATGTATGGTATGGTTTGCACAAGACCAGACTTGGTCAAGTAGTTAGTCAAGTTAGCAAGTACATGTCTATCCTGGAAGAGCCCACTAGAATGCTGTCAAGTGGATTCTCAAGTACTTTAAGGTATAGCTGATTGTGGTCTCATGTTTGGAGGACATGAGTGCAAGACGGAAGTCGTGGGTTTCATTGATTCAGATTATGCAGTGATCTTGATAACATGAGGTCTACTACAGGGTAGATATTTACTCTTGCTGGAGCGCTTATAAGTTGGAAATATGTTTTGTAGTCTGTTGTTATAATGTCTACCACAGAAGCAGAGTACATGGCAATGGGAGAGGCAGCTAAGGAAGCATTATGTGTTAGAGGACTCGTAATGGAGTTGGGTGTTGCGCAAGGTGGAGTTCAGCTACATTGTCATAGTCAGAGTGCATTATATCTGGCAAAGAATCAAGTGTATCATGTGCTAGGACGAAGCACATTGAGGTAAGGTTTCACAAGATCAGGGAGTTGTCAGCTTCTGGTGTGATTTTACTAGAGAAGATGCACACGTCTGAGAATGCAGCTGATATGTTAACCAAGCCTGTCACCACGGAGAAGTTCAAGCACTGCTTGGATTTGCTCCAAGTCGTTCATTGCTAAATAAAGATGAAGGTTCCCCCAAAAGCTAACAAGGAGTCAAAGTTGAAGCCAATGAGATTTTTGTTGTCAAGGTGGAGTTTGTTATTATAAAGTGACTTGAAATCTCTAGAAAATATTGGCAAGACAGTGCAAGATTGTGCAAGACTGCAAGACTGTGCAAGACTGCAAGGCTTTGTAAGACTGCAAGGCTGTGTAAAACTGTGCATGACTTTGCAAGACGTAGCAAGACTTTAAAAGGCTTACATGACTTAAAAGGATTTTACAAGACTTTTTTCAAGACGGTTTCAAAGGCGGTTTAAGGTTAGGGTTTTGGGGGTTTTGGGGGCGCAGCCCCTAGTACGGTACAATAGGTTTTAGAAGATTCACAAGATTTCCTATTTCATTGTGTCGGGTTTTGAGGCTTATATAAGGAGACTTAAGGTTTGTAAAGTAATCATCACATTAATAATATAAACCCTAGGCAAAGGGTATTCGCCTCAAGAACACCTTTCTCTCATCAAAGCTTTTCTTCATTATATTCACTCAAATTCGTAACAATAAGGATGACTACTTGCTAACTTGTGGACTTCATGCAACTTAATAAAGCTAATCCTTAGGCCTTAGATCACTAAACAAGAGTATTTTACTTCCATGATACAAGTTCCTTCACTAATCATCAACAAGGGAATCAAATGGTTAATGAACATTAATAATGTCTAAAAAGCCACTAATCACCCTAATCAACAATTTTCATTAGCCAGGTATGAAAAGCACTTAGCAATTTGGTTCACAATTTCATGGCACACCTTCCGGATGTGAAATTGCTTAAGATTGACACAAATGGGCCAACTATTCTTGAGATTCCTCTCTTCTCGACTAACAATGAGCTGATTACTCCTTATGGCTGGAATATCCTTGCAACAAGGTCAGAGAACCATATCAAACTATACGTATTTATCAGTACCATTTCTATTTCCTCTTCTAGTGACCGTACAATTTGGTTAATCACTACAGGAAATGTGAGTATTAATAGCGGCCGAAAAACGCAATTATTCATCTAGCATAGCGTTTCCTTAAGCGCTCTGACATCGCCCGTTATAGAAAGTCGGACACTTTTGATAGCGGTTTTGCGTTGTGCTATAGTTAAGTATACAACGATAGCGTTGGCTACTGTGCAATTGCTAATGTTTATAATAGCGATTATTATTTGCTATTAATATATTTAATTATTTGAAAAAAAAATATATATATATATATACTATTGTGTAATACGTAGATATTTTGTATTTTATACAAAAATGTATTTATATAGTATTTGTTTTTATTAATTCTTTTGGGATAAATTGATATATTTAAAATAAAAATATCATATTTATTATTATCTGTATGAAACATTGATAAAAAGAATTTATATTACAAAATAAAAATACAGTAATTAATCCCAAAACTAAAATACATTCTCAAAATAAATAAAAAATAGCTTCTTTCTTAGACGAAATCGAGAATCGAAAAACGACGATTCCGTTATCTTGAAGAAGACCACTTGTAATCAAAACCTCAGCATCTTTCACATGACGATCGAGTCTCGCCATGACTGAGTTAACTTCACTCTGCACATTGACCTGAGCAGCATAGCCAAACGAAATGAAATTGAGGCAATTCCCAAGAAGAAAGACAAGGATCCCTGTAAATTTCCAACAACATTGGACTCAGAACAAGCTACATATAAACTTCAAAGGGGAAAAAGGTTTAAGACCAGAGCATACCAACTCTCCATGTCTGAAAATGTATAATTGGCTTCAATGGCATCTTTCCTCCGCCATTATCTTGTAAAGCTAACCTTTCTCTCTGATAGATATAATACACAAAAATCTATAAGCTTCACGAGATTAAATGCAATCAAACAGTAGCGACTGAGGGGCAAATGCAGACCTCATTATGTCCCAATTTGAGAAGGTTTGTGCCGAAATTAATAGCTACGCTTCCAAAAATGTTGATGAAAGCTCCGATGACCCACTCTCCCATGGTTATTAAAGAATACAAACTGCTCAATTAGGGATCATCTAAAGCTGTAAACTTGAAGCAATCAACTAGCTCAGGCCCTCATGTTAATCTTAGCCTTCAAAATCTACAAGAGATGAAGCAGAACACAAGCTTGTAGCTTTGATAAGGCAATAAAGAGAAAACCCCCAATAAAACTTCATCTGAGAACGAATGAATCATTGGTTTCTTCAATCTTTGAATCCAATTGAAACAGAGATCAAAGGGACAAAATTGAAACAAGGGTTTACGGAGATTAGCATGGAATTGAAGAGAAAAAGAGGCAAAACCTGAGGAGACGATAAAGGAGCTTCAGATCCTAATCGATTCTAACAGAAGATGCAGATTGTTAAATCCTCGCTAGTTGATTTACTAAAAGCTATGTTTCTCGCTCCCTTTTGCACCAAATCCTAAGAGAAACACCATATCACAATTGAATGAACCTGGAATTCACAAAGAGAGATAAATCTTCCGTGAGATGAGCTGGAAAACACCGGAAGAGACGTATGTCGGAAAATTAGGGCTTATGATCTCTAATCAAATCAAAAGACTACGATCGATTTCAACAACGGCACCATTCTTCTTCTTCATCTTCTTCTTTGGTTCTCTCAGATTCGAGTCGGAGATGGCAATGAATGGTGAAGAACGGATGAGAGGTTGAAGAGAAAATGTTAATTTTGTTCTCGCCAAAGACTTAGTTAGGCGATGAACGGATGAGATTACCTTAAACATGCAGCCGCCAAAGCTATTGAAAGGATGAGATCTCGCCACGTCATGTATCTGAGTATTACTTATTGATTGGATTGAGTAAATTAGATCCGATGAATGGCTGAGATCTCGCCACATCAGCAATCCGAGTGAAACATTATGATTGGCTTATTTTGTTTATAGGCATAAAAATGTGTTTTTACTATTTATATAATTTTTTAAAAATTATATATTCATGAATTAATATGTTTATGAGTTATTTACATGATTATATATTTTTTTCGCAATTTTAAAAAAATATTTTGCAACGTATTTAGAAATTTGAAGGTAACACATATGATTGTCTTAGAATACATGTACACTAATCTTCTTATTGTGTAAATCATATTGTTGAAACAAATTAATGATGTTATAATTAATAAAATGATAGAATTCATTTATATTATAATACTTTATATCATTAATATTAGCTACTATTTAAGACACTAAACCCTAAACCCTAAACCCTAAACCCTAAACCCTAAACCCTAAACCCTAAACTATTTTTAAAAATGAATTTTATTTATGTTATTATTTGTTATAATTAATATTATTACTATTTCAAACAAATATAATCCAAAAACCTAAACCATACATTTCATACCCTATACCCTAAACCCTAAACTCTATACCCTAAACTCTTTAAAATTATAACTTTGTTATTATTTTTGTAATTATTAATATTATAATTAAATATTTATGTCTTTTTGAGATATTTGGTTATATTTGTTTATATTTCATTTTTTTTTTTAATTTTTCTTTTACAAAATTTCGAAAATCATTTAAAAATCTTAAAAATCTTTAAAATCATTTAACTTGAAACCTAAAGTACATGCCTTAAAATAATTAATTCAATTTTTTCCAATTAAAATGTTTTAAGCATGTGTTTAACATATTTTTGCAAAGAGATAACATATAATTAGTAACATGAGAAAACAAAGTCAAGTACATGTAATAAAAGAAAACACAAAGTGTTCGACACTTAAAACAACAAATTGTTCAACATAAAGGAAAAAAACTTAGTACTTAAGAAGTTTCAGAGATAGACTATTTTGTCATTAGGCCAAGCAACAGTTGTGCCTTGTGCATCTGCAATGAATTGCACTTCTGAATTTGGCCTCCACACTTTAGCATTATCAATCATTGAAGCATCAACCCAGACCTTGCAAGCATTTGGTCCTAAGGGTCTGTTATGGACTGTCTCTGCAGGATCAGTTGAACACACTCGGCCCTCTGCAACTGTTTTTTCAGAATTTTTGCAATCAGATCATTCATTTGACAGTAGAATGCTTCTTACAGGAGACCAAAGTTAGAGTACAGTTTCTTTCTGTCTTCTCTTGTGAGCTCAGTGCCAATGCTGCATAGAAAAGAAATCAAGGTTCAGAAATAAAGCAACACAACGATGGTAACATCAGAACTTGTAAAAATCCTAATCCTGCAGCTTTGTTGTACAATATTGTTTTAAGACAAAAACTAGAATCCTAATCATGCAGCTTTGTTGTACAGTATTGTTCATGAACATACATGAATCTATCAGATTAAATCTAGTAATCAAAGCATAAAACCAAAAGAGGGGGACTTCTTGTACATACACTTAAGCATCTACATGGTTCGTATTGAGACAGTATCACTATTCGCAAAAATATATATGTGAATCAATCATCAATTTAGCCAAATCAGAGAACAAGCAAAGATAAATCCTAGCTGATGAGAATATCTATTAACAGTTCTTGGACATCAAAATTTATGCAGCTACTGAGCAAACTAAGAAGCTACAGATGACAATTAAAGCAATACATATCCTAAAACATATGCAAACGACCTTTATGCAAGACAAGTATGAAAATTTTGTCTTATGAACATTGAACTAGAGGGTTAAAGAAAGAACTTGTAAGTATCATCAGTATCTTCAACTAAATGATAACTCTGGAAAGCCTTAGCGTTGATCACAGCCTCCATGCCAGATGGGTCTTTAAAAAACTCACTGAAAGTCAGCTTCTTTTCTCCAACTGAAAATATTTAACATATGCTTTCAAAGTTTTCATGTACCTACAACTCAATCCAAAAACATATTTGTTACTAATACATAAACTACAGTCTAATAAACTACAACCTAATAAACACATTAAAGAGAGAAAAACTAAAATAAAAAGTACCTCTCAAACGGATACATCCAACGAAAGTGAACAGGTCCACCCAAGCGTGCCTCTCTTCCTAAGTGTATAGGCAGGTGGAACATAATATCGAATAGTGAAGGAGGGAAGAACCGCTCCATTTGGCACATTGTCTCAACTAACTCAGACTCACTAGAAATCAGCTTCTCTGGATCAATCACACTCTGGCACAACCTGTTGAAGTAGTTGCATAATCGAGTCACAGCAACTCTTGGTCCTTTTGGCAGCAATCCTCTCAAAGCAACAGGCAATAAGTTTTGCATAAGGACATGATGATCATGTGACTTCATACCACTAATAACAGGAGGATCAAGAGAAACAGTACAATTTGCAATATTGGCACAGTACCCATCAGGACCTCTAAACTTAGCTAACATATTCAATCTCCTTAACAAACATGGCAGAACAAAAATAGAACAACAAGGAGAGAAAGGATTCACAATCTTACGATTAAGCTCAAGTCTTCTTTGGACAAAGGATTTTTAGAATCTGTCAAGAAAAAAAATACAAATGATCTCACAAATCAAAAAGAGACATTCACACAAATAACAAGAACAACAAATAAGTACGCTACAGATTTTGTCAAATATATTGGGACCAGCACATGAATCTTATTGATATTTTATAAAATACGACAGTTCATGTGAAATCATATGGGATTACACATAGAAACAAGTCGAATTCGTAAGTTTGAAACAAAAATTAAAAATCCCTAATTCATACCTTCACGAAATCTGACCCAGAGAGCTACCTACAAAAATCAGAAGTTTTCAATTGGATTAGAAGTTGTTTAACCCAAATTAATCAAAAATAACACAAGTCCAAACGATACATGGAAGAAGAGACAATTAACTGAAGAGATTTATCAGTCGACATTGAAGAACCCTAAATCGATATATACCAACCTAAACTCTTAAAGATTCAACCTAAAACTCAAATTATACCTGTGAAATTGGAATAAGATGCCAGCGACGACAACGGCGGTGAAGGTCGTCTCGGAATTTCACGGCGACAACGACAAAGCTTTGTACAGGTAGATAGAAAGAGAGAAGGGGAACACGAGAGAAAGCTTAGTGTTCTTTTTGCTTTTTTTTTTTCTAAGTGTTTTATCTTTGTTAGTGAGGGAAAAAAATGCAAAAGTGATTTTTATTGTTTTCATTTATTTTGCCTTAGACAAAATCAGAAATTTTTTCCCTCTTAACATTTTCAATAGCGGGAATTGAACTTTAGTAACCCGAAAATTGGCCGCGTGAATTTCATATATCCCGCTTCAATCATTTATAGCGTTTACAATTCACAAAACGCTATCCATTAAGTCAAACATAGCATAGACATAAAAAACGCTATCTTTTAGTGCTATCAATACCCACATTTCCTGTAGTGAATTACGTAACCTCATAATTCTTTCTCTTCTTGTGTTATTTGGAATAGTATAAGGCAAGAATCCCAAAGCATGCCTTCACTGTTTGGTTCTTTGTTCTTATTAGTAACCATGGATCGAGAGAGAAACATGGTGAAATCTCTGATTCTCATTAATGATCAAGAAAGGTTGTTACAACAATGTATAGTAAAACAAACCAACTAAACCAGAATTAAACCAATGAAATCACCTTAATTAGATGATTAATTAGGTGGTTAAACCAGAAGCTATTATCTACAAGTATTATCAACATGAGACTAACTATATGATTCTAATAGCCTCCCTCAAGATGGCAGTGGTGCGTAGATATCGCAAACACCCATCTTGGCAATAAGCTCCCGAAATGGTGCCGGATACAATGCTTTGGTTAAAGGATCTGCTAATTGTTCTTCAGTCTTCACATACATAGTCTTGAGAAAACCAGAATCAATCTGCTCCCTGGTCTTGTAACAGTCAAGCTCCACATGCTTTGTTCTCTCGTGAAATAGTGAATTATTAGCAATGTGGATTGCAGCAGTATTGTCACAATAAAGATAAGCAGGAGGCTTGAAAGGAACTTTGAAGTCATTAAGAAGCCTAGAAAGCCAAATCATTTCCTTAGTACCAGAAGACATTGCTCTAAACTCTGACTCTGCAGAACTCATAGAAACTGAATCTTGCTTTTGTGAACGCCAAGAAACCAGAGAGTTACCAATAAACATGCAGTAGCCAATAACTGATCTTCTATTGTTTTTACAAGTTCCCCAATCAGCATCAGTATAACCCGGAGATCAAAGGTATCATCTGCATGATAAAACAGACCCTGCCCTGCTGTTCCCTTCAAATATCTCAATACTTTATGCACAACATTCAAATGAAATGTCTCTTGGATCATGTGAGAATTGGCATAAAGTATTGACAGCAAAGGCAATATCTGGTCTAGTTAACTGCAAATACATCAATTTCCCCACCAGCTTTCGATATGCGGATGGATCACTTACAGGAACTCCAACATCTTTCCTTAGTTTCACACTTGGATCCAAAGGCGCAGCAGATGGTTTACTTCCAAGAAAATCAGTAAGAGAAAGCAATTCCAAAATGTATTTTCTCTGACAAATTGAAATACCTTCATTAGTCTTGGCTATCTCCAAACCAAGGAAGTACTTTGTTGTACCAAGATCTCTTAACTTGAAAAACATCTTCAGTTCTTCTATAAAACCTGCTACTGCAGCATCACTATTACTGACAATCAAGATATCATCCACGTAGACTAGAACACCAAGAAAAACTCCATCAACATACTTGGTAAACAAAGTATGATCAGCATTAGATTTCCCAAATCTCATGGTCTTCAGAGTTGCAGAGAGGTTGAGAAACCACTGTCGCGAGGCTTGTTTAAGTCCATAAATGGATTTGTGCAATCTACACACAGCATTAGGAGGTAAAGCCTCTCCTATAAGATCTGCATAACCAGGGGGAACCTTCATATATATCTCTTCATCCAAATCACCATTCAAGAACACATTAGAAATGTCAAGTTGATGAATTGACCATCTCAACTTAGCAG